TCTTCATTGCCTGTGATGAGAGTATGGATATGGGAAGCGTAGCTCAGTTAGCTGTGTTTCTTTGCCCTTGCAACACGGATTTCAACATTTTTGAGGAATTGTTGGAACTCGTACCGATGCATAACACTAGTACAGGACAAGATATATTTAATTGTGTTTTTAAACTTGCAAATATACAATCTTGCAAATATACAATCTACCTCTCTCAAAATTAACTTCTGTAGGTACAGATGAAGCTCCTTCGATGACCGGAAACAATGGTTTCGTGGAATTACTGCAAAAAAAAAAAAAAGTGAAATTTATAATGGATCCAAGATTTATCATACGCATTGCATTATACATCAAGAAGTATTATGCGTAAAGAAGGTAATAAACATGGAAAGTGTGTTGACATCTAGCAAAAAATTTATCAATTTCATAAAATCTCCAAGTTTAAATCAGCCACAGTTCTCTGCTTTCTTAAGTGAATTAGACAGCGAATATTCCAGTTTGTCCTACTATACTGAGGTATGTTGGCTATCCTGCTCCAAGGTTCTTAAACAATTCTGGGACTTGAAAGAAGGACTATGTCAGTTCTTAATGTCTAAAAATCAAGACACAAGCCTATTTTTTGACACAATATGGTTGCAGGATTTATCTTCATGGTTGATAAAACACATATATGTTTTGTTATAACTTAAAACTGCAAAGAAGAGATCAGATTATTACAAACATGTGTGACCAAGTCAAAGCATTCAAATGTAAGCTAGATCTTTGGGAAAAGCAGTTGAAAAATGGAGATTAAATGCACTTCCTGGCATGCAACATGAACAAATCAAGTTTAGGTGAAACTGCATCGTATCAAAAATACACAGAAGAAAATTTAAGCCTTAGAACTGATTTTGAAACAAGATTTGCAGATTTTAAATTTTTGGAAGAAATTTTCTTCAATTTTTTCAATAAATATAGAATCAGTACCTAATCAAATGCAAATGGAGGTAACTGAGATCCAGTGTGATTCAGATTTGAAGGCAAAATCCAGTGAAGTTGGCGTGCCTGAATTTTACAAATATTTAACTGCCAGGTTTGAAAATACTCAAAAATTCGCATATGAAATTATTTCCATGTTTGGAAGTACTTATCGGTGTGAGCAGTTATTTACAGTTATGAAAGGAAATAAGTCTCCTGTCAGATCCAGAATTACTGACGTTCACCTTGGTCAGTTTTGAAAGTAATCACTGTGAACAAGATTTCCCCCGAAGTAGGAAAGATAGTAGCAGAGGAGAGATGCCAATTGCCAGGAAGAAAACAATTTTATCATTGCTCTTGTGCTTTTTTTTTTTTTTACACTTTACTTTTCGAAATAAACCTACGTTTCTATGAAAATTGAAGCTTTTGCTTTGTTGCCATCCACATAAACCTAAACCTTGTTTATTTGGCGTGTGTTAGCCTTTGAGTTTGATGTGCTTGCTCTAAACATACACCCCAGTCTTGAGTCCTTTCTACTTTTTTAAGTAGCAAAATATTCCACACTGCTGCATCAGTGTTAGCCCAAAGCTGGAATTTACCAGTTACAGACCCACCTGTTCCTAAAACCCTGTTTAACCCTATTATCTTTTCCATCCTATCAACAGCTCAATACATTTTCAGCTTCTGCCTGTAGGTTTCCAGCTTTCACCTGTTACTCTATGGAGGCGTGTTTAATACCCCATTAGCACCTCCTTGCATCTCAGTGTGAGTCCCCTAATCTCTTCAAAATTCTCAGTACAAATCCCTCCTCCCCAACCAGCCCAGCTCCCACAGCCTTGCTATCTGGGAGCTGGGAGGCAATGAAGGAATTAGTAAAGGAGCCAGGCCCATCACTCGAGGATGGCTGCTAACCTCTCAAGGTGCCAAGCCCCACTGCTGCCAGACAGTGTGAAATCTTCCACAGTGGGCAAGAATTTAGTCAACCCATAGCGACTGTCCACATCCTTTCAACACCAGAGAATGAGTCCACACAATTCCCCTGTCAACTGGCCAGCAGGGTGAGCACTTCCTCCCTTCTTTCCCACTAGACAGCCCTCAGCCCCCACATGCCCTGGGCAATTCTAAAGGAAGTCACAAAATGAATGGCTCCTTTTTTAGAGCTTTTAACAAAAATATGCTATTCTCAACATTTTCAA